GGATCTGTTCCCACAGTGCTGCGCGGTCGGCCCCTGACAAGGAGAACTACAATTCCCACAAGGCGCTGCCTTCAAGGAAGTGATTTTTATTCCCCACCTTATTAGCAGGTGGGAAGATTTAAGTGATAGATCTAAGTGACATCAATCCAAGGGCTCCAGGGATTCTCCAGCGTACCCAACAAGCTGTTCTCATTTTAACACTTCAAGAATTACCAATGAGATTGTACTTTTTAAAAAGTAAGTGAAATAACCGTTACTTCTCTTAGGGTCATAATGGTATCTGGACAAAGTAGGAAATTGTTCTTATTTGAAAAAGGTACATTTAATAGAGATGAATTTTAAATATTTTTATGTGAAAAATCTTGTATATATTAATTTTATTGATTTCTAGATTTATCACATTTTGTTTAGAGAATACTGTTTGTGAACTATTATTGTGAAATAGGCTTACTAAAAGTTTGACTTTAGGCTGATGACATCACTTTCCACAGGAACTTGAAAGCTTTGCTCTTCATATTCAGCAAATGGAGATCTTAGACATATATTATGAGGTCCTAATTCTAATGAGTATTAAGTTCTTAGAATTCCATTTTGCATGTTTTTTATGTCTTGCAAATGCTTAAATATTTTTTAACCTGTGCTTTTGAGCTAAAGAGTCCTTTTAATGTAATGTATTTAATTGCTTGAACTCAAATCTAAATGGTAACAGAAAACGAAACCCAAACAACAACTCTACCCTTCTTTCACGGTAATCTAAGTTAGTCACATAGTCATGTCTTCTTTAGTCAATCGATATGTTCCAATCATTTCTATTTAGTGACTTGGAGATATGTTTGATCTAAATTAGGTCAACATCTATGTTATGTTGTCTACAGGCTTCAAAAGAATTACTTTCAGTGTTTCATTTCCAATACTTAAGATGATTTGACTTTTCTACAGAAATTACACTGAGAACTACAACTTTTAAAAATACCTGGCACAATTTACCTGTATAGAAAAAGACTAACAAGCACATGCAACGACACTCAACATCATCAGCAACCAAGGAAACTGTGCCCTCCTCAAGTTCATAAATGGGAGAGCTGACACCCAGTATAACTAGCTATCTTTGGACACAAAGCCTTACAGGAGGTAGCAAAGTGAACTTCACATGAAGTCATAAAGGTGGTACTGTGAAGCTGGTGCCCCTGCAAGAATAGGTAGAAATACCAGGGTGCCCCTGTACACATGCGCACACTCCTTCTGCCCAAAGGAAGACTATGTGAGGATAAAGCAGAAAAGGGACTGCACACCAGGGAGATAAGAAACTCTCCTGACACCTTGATGTTGGTCTTCCAGCTTCCAGAATTGTGAAAAAAAATGTTGTACTGTATTCTACAAAGCCAATGATATTAAGACAGCCCAAGATAACTAATACAGAAATACAAAAGAAAATCACGTAAGATACCACTTCGTATCCACTAGGGTAACTAAAATAAAAAAGGATGAGGAGAAATGAGAACGCTCACACTGCCATTAGGAATGAAAACTGGAGCAATCGCTTAGAGAAACAGACTGGCAGTTCCTCAAACAGATAAACACAGAGGTACCATCTGACCTCACAATCCTACCCTAAGTACATACTATACATGACAAATAAAAACATGTTTGTGCAGAAAACCGTAAATGAATACCGATATAAGCATCATTTGTAATTGTCAAAATGTGGCATCTTAAAGGCAGAAGCAAGGTATGGTATCTATGTATGCAATGGAATATTATTTGACCATAAAAAGGATGAACTACTGAAACATGTTGTAACAGAAACCTTTTAAACATTATGGTAATCAAAATAAACCAATCACAAAAGCCTGGATGTTACGATTCCAATTATGAAAAATACCTAAAACAGGAAAATCTATAAAGACAAGAGATTATTGGTGGCCTAGGGCTGAAGGAACGGGAGGTGAAGAGACTGAAAAGTAGGATTGCATGTTTTTTTTAAAGTGATTAAAACTGTAGTGATGTCTGACATATATGTCAATATACTAAACATCAATGAACTGTATGCTCCAAGTGGGTCAACTGTACATGTAAATCACATCTCAACAAAGCTGTTAAGAAAAAAAAGCTTTCAAAAGTGTAAAGTGTTTCCCTCTTGGCACATGCCTGTAATCCTAGCACTTGGGAAGCTGAGATAGGAAGATTACTACTGGATCAAGGCCAGCCTGGGCTACACGGTGAGTTCAAGGCCAGCCAGATCTAGATAGAGAGAGAGAGACCCTGTCTCAAAAAAAAGTGTTCCTCTCCGCTGTAGTTTGAATACAGGTAGTGTTTCCTAAAACTCCATGTGGAAAAGCTTGGTCCCCAGAATCCCAGAGTGGCACTCCTGGGAGATAGTGCAGCCTTTGAGGGAACCCTACTGTAAACTGTGAACTGTACATGTGCTCTTTAGAATCATCCAAATCCATCTGGAACATCTTGGGGGGCTTCCTAAGGTGAGAGGGTGTCTGCCCTCACAGGAGATTGCCCTTTTAGTCTCTCCCTCTGCTTACTACATTGTGAGGTGAGTGTTTGCTTTGCCACACTCCTGCTATGCTGTGCTGCACTTGCCACAGGCTCAAAGGATGAAACCACATGGCCTCAGACTGGAACTCTCAGAACTGTGAGCCAAAATGAAATGTCAGCCTTCTATGTTGATAATCTGAGGTATCCTGTTACAGTGACAGAAATCTGAACGGCACGTGTACCACAATGCTGAAGGCATCCAAGTGTCCTTCTGTGAGTGCTCACTCACCTTCACGCTTCTGATTCAGGAATTTGCACTCCAAAGACCATGGCTCTTCTCCTAGCTCCAACTTGAGTATCACCTCAGGTTTGATAATGCAGTACCCTGTGAAGAGTTGTTGAGGGAAATTATAGACTGGATCTCGACCTTTTGTGCTTTTCTAAGATGGCAAAAGATACAGCAAGCAGCAACAGCAACAAATACAAGAGAGCATCCAAAGTTCTCAATGGGAAAAAATGACATAATCATTGTGTTCCTCTAAAGGTTTCAATTATTGTAGGCATCTTAATCCAATAATCTAAAATCTTTTTTAGCCACCACAGACTGGTTTCATGGAAGATGATTTTTCCTCCCAAGAGAGGCTGGGGAGGGGAGGTGGCTCTGAGATTATTACAAAGAGCACAGATGTGCAGTTCACAGTAGGCTTCATGCTCCTCTGAGAATCTAATTCCTGCCTCTTCTTCTGATCTGGAGGAGGTAAGGTGGATCTCAGTCAGTAATATAAAAAATGAAGAGAAACTGCTGAGTACTGACAAAGCTTCCCTACTCTCCTGCAGCTCATCTCCTGCTCTGCAGCCCAGTCCTAACAGGCCACTCACCATGGAAGAGGGAATGGAAAACTCCTATCATCCAATTAACAATGTTACCCAAGTATCAAATGCTGTAGTAATTTCTTTAAGAGCACGAGTCCTGGAGGAGTCCTGTGCTTAGTTCTGCTTACCCACAGAGATGAGGTGGCTGTAGGTCTCCAGCATCACATCTCTGTACAGGGTCCTCTGAGCAGGGCCCATGAGCCGCCACTCCTCCTGGGTGAGCTCCACAGTCACGTCCTCCAGTGACACGGATGCCTGTAATACATGTTTCTCATCAGTCTGATGGTTCAGAATGAGAGACATGAAAATACTTTGGGTCGCTAACTCTCATTATGTTCACTGCTGGGAGAGTAACATAAAGTGCTATAAAGGACACCCACCAGGGCACTAAGCCAGTCTTCTCACTCTGGAGATACAAAACCAGGACAAATATAATTTTCATATTCTGACTTGTTCATTTCTACATTATATATATACATGCATTATCATTTAATATATGGAGAAACTAACACATTTCCACCAGCTTGAACCACCAGTGGTACATGCAAGATTGTCCCATAGGGTGGCTTCTGTCACTAGTGGTACAAGTAGTACAGTCATGCTTGGGACAGAATGGATGTAACACTGCTGGTTCAAGTTGCTGGGCAGTGAGAAAAACAGATTATAGCTCTGCCAAGAAACTGTTAATGCCTTCTTATGCAGAATGATTACAAATAGGGTTCCGATATACATTTCCCATACATCAATGAGTTCTGCTGAACAGTCTGTAAAATACACACTGCAACCTGGAGATCACTGCTGGGTTAACGCAAGCCTGAGGGTATTACACACCCCAGATTTACCTCCAGGAGAAGTGCTCTAGAACAGACAGTTTGTTCGATGTGGCAGCTCTGCCACTCTGGAACAGACAATTGTTTGTAATCAAAGACTATCCTCTGCATTTTACCATATTTAACAGTAGTGTCTGTTTTCTATCCTTAGGTGCCACTAACATGCCAGTTGTGACAAGAACTATCTCCAAAGGCTCTTAGCTTTCTCTCAGGGAGCTAAACTACCCCATCAGAAGCCACTGTTCTGTGTAAGTACTGGACGTCAGCAGCAAAATCAAAGACCTAATGTACATTAAGGTGCAACAACAGAAAAGAAAGGGAAGCTCATCCTTGTAAGAAACAAGCTCCGGTCATCACTTCCTAGTGGGGCTAAACACAGGGAAGCTGTGTGAGCAGCCAGGCAGCTTCTGGCTCCACACATGGAGACGGAAAAATAAGTGAGAGGAAGGGGCTGGGCACAGGGTCACATTCTTCATTGGCACTCCAAACATTTGTGGGATAGAAAGATGCACGCGTTCACCCCACTTTTGGTTTCATTATTGGGGATAGAAAAAAGAGGTCTAAAATGTAAACACAGATCTAGGAAACAGCAGTCATTAAGATGGCCACTCAAGTCACCAGAAAAGAGCTGGCTATGACAGGACACAGAAACCAAGGAAAGAAAGGAATGGAATTCAAAGGAGTAGCAATAGTGGCCAGCACTATTCAAAGGAATAGCAAAGGAGGTGGCCAGAAAAGAACAGGATATGACAGAAAGAGAAATCAAACACACTACTTGAAATCAAGAGAAAACAGAAATGTAAGCACAGATTATTCTACTTCAAGATGACAAAACTGACCACATACATTTCTATGCCCTTGCTCCTAAAATACATTTAGTTCAAATATAATGCCCACTGTCAATGTGTAACAACAGAGGAATAGAAGCAAGCTTCTCAGAAAAAAAGAGGGAGACTATGAAAAGAGTCTGGGTTAGCCAGTATTAGTGGGCTGGAGGGAAAGGGCACTGATGAGAGGCCAGGAAGTGATGGGTAGACCAAGCTGCAGACTGAACAGGATGTGGAGTCAAAGTGTGCTGGTGTTAGAGCACATAACTGAAGACCTGGGGAAGACCCCGCGCTGCAAGAAAGACACCTGGAGGAAATCTGCGCGAGGAGAGCGCTACACTGACATCAGGGGATGTGGTCAGGAGCTCGGGGAGGCCAGAGGGAGAAGTATAGAGTTATTCTTGAAGCTTTGCGATGGTTCTATAGATGGCAACAAAACAAAGTTTTATCTTATGATTATGTTATGGGATATAAATATGACTTCTATTATTTTATACTGACTCTGTAACCAGCTAACTGCTAACATTTGTTGTAATTTCTAATAATAAGCTTGCTGCTGCTGCTTCTTCCCTGCTCTGCAATGCCCTCTGCTGTGCCTCCCTGCCTTGGAGCCAGCAGATTATGGCCTGAAACCTCCAGAAATTGTGAGCCAAATAAACTTTATCTCTTATAACTTTGGGTGTCAGGTATTTTGTCTGAGCAATGAGAAAAGTAAGACAAGTAGGATACTATAAAAAAGTATTCAAGATATACTGTAAAATATACAACCAATCATGTTCTACAAGACTACAATGAACATTTCTTTTCAGTGTGTTAGAGTGGACCGCAACATCCCACAGGAATTTTTTTTACAGTACCGGAAATTGAACTCAGGACCTTAAACTTGCAAGCCAAGTGCAGCACCACTGAACTAAATCCACAGCCCTTCAGAGTTAGAATGGAAAAGACCCAACAAAGAGCCAGAATCTAGGAATCATAAAAGAAGGAAAAAACTGCTGAAATTTGGCAACACAAAAATCAAATATCTTTACAGCAAAAAGTAGTTAAGAAGAAAAAATCCTAGAAAATAAATACCATTTATTTGACAGAAAAAGAGCTATAAAGATGTACTGAATAGGATATTGAAAAGATTTGCACATCAACATGAGAGGGGCATGGGATGAACAGTTCAGTTTAAAAATACAAATAAACCACATGCGCACGTACCAACTCACTCATGAGAAAGCTTGTAAAAGTACAGAGAAATATTGTTTAATCACACTGTTAAAATGTTTAAAATTTGGGCTGGGGATTTAGCTCAGTGGTTCCACCGCCTGGCTTGCAAGGGCAAGGACCCGAGTTCGATCCCCAGTACCAAAAAAATAAAAAATAAATAAAATGTTTAAAACCTGACAGCCTATTCCCTTAACAAGGTTTTCAGAAAGAATCCCTCACACACTGTGGTCTCTGCCTTAAAATATATCCAAAATCTAATGGCTCGAAGTAACTGTTAACATGCTTATATCATTTCTTGCTGGGATTACTCGAATAGCCTTCTTCCATCACTAGCTCTCCAGAGTGTATCATCAGCGGACTAGATACCCACGGGCAGCAGCTCACAAGGGTAATAATCCCAGCTAATCAGGAGACTAAGGCAGGAGCATCACAGGTTTGGGGCCAGCCTGGGCAACTTAGCAAGACTCTCATAATGAAACGGAAACGAGGAAGTGTAACTCGGTGGTAAAGCTTCCCTGGGTTCATCTCCAGTACAGCAAAGAAGACAAAACTGACTCTTTTAAGAGTTATTTGTAGAACTATCTTTTCTCACCTCAAACCCCTCCATAGCACAGAAACAGATCTAAAGTGTTCCTAAATTGAAACATTCAAAATGATCAAGACGTTAATTCTCACAAAACTGACTTAAACTCTAGAGTAAACTCAACAGATACAGTGTAATATCAAAATCAAAATCTCAGTGAGCTTTCTCAATATACTTAAGTTGCTTAAAGAAAAACTGCATAAAACAGCAAAGGATTTAGAATATCCAATCAATTGTTAAAGTAGAACAAAACTGACAAACACACAGCCTAATTTCAAGACTTACTGCAGAGAGACACTTTTCAAAGCAGTGTGGTATTGGCAAAACGATAAACTCAAAACCTAAGCAATGAAGAGAGTCAAGAAACAGACCCATACATATGCACTTAATCAATGCCCCCAGTGGTGCCAAGGTAATTCAGGAAAAAAGAGTACCTTGCTTTCCTCAAATCCAGTGTCTAAACTGGAGACTACAAATAACGGCAACTGTATGTTCATCTATTCCCAGTATCTAGAGAATTCTGCCAGCAAAAACAGCACAGGCCTTTATACTCTACAATTTTATGTTTAACTATATATAATATATCTGGTCCTTTTCTGATCAACAACTTTTATACTAGAACAACATTTAAAGTTGGTGAATGGCTGGGGATTTAGCTCAGTGGTTTCACTGATCCCTGGTACCAAAAAAAAGCTGGTGAAAAAGGAATTACTGCCAGGCATGGTGGTGCACACCTATAATCCCACCACTGAGGGCTGAGGCAGGAGGATCACTGTGAGTTCAAGACCAGTCTGGGCTACATAGTGAGTTCAGGGCCAGACTGAACTACACAGCAAGATTCTGTCTCAAAAACAAAACAAAACAAGTAATTACTGAAATAGCAGAGGAAATAAAGTCTTTGACAGTCTTAAGAGAATACTGCTGAAAAGCTTGTGAAAATACTTCTTTAAAATATACATAAGAATATAATAAAATTGTAATGATGAAAACTATATTAATATGACACAAAACTACCACAAGATTGATATACTAATTAGTTGACTAATACTCTGGTTCAATAATCAAATTCTTCACATGTGCAGTCCTTCTAAAGTGAATTTCACAAAATGTATAAATGACAAAATTTTCTCATTTTTCTAAATTATTAGAAAATGAGCATAAAATTGTCTCTTTTCCTTTTATAGGAATGTAACCATGACAACATACTAAGGCAGGGAACAAGAAAGAATAACCTATTTCAATTTGTGAGTACAGAAATTAAGTCCTATTGTAGAAGCAAAAAGCCCTAGGAAAATATGTAAAAAGCAGTTCTCCACAAGCATTAGCAACTGGGGTCTATGCAACAATTCAAGGCAATATTAGAAAATCCAGTATATTATTTATAATAAAAGAAACAGCTATAGTCTCTTATGGCGAGCCATTATGGTGAGCCTTGACACAGGCCTAGCCATGGTTGAACTTTGAGTCACCTCGCTGGCAAGGATGTGCTCTCGCCCATAGCCACGGGTGAGTTCAGCTGGTAGCAGATGTAACCCATAATGGTTGTTATTGTTTCCCTGTGGAATGTGTGGGTGGTACCCTCGCTCCCTCACTCCCTCGCTCCCATGCAGCCCTCGCTTCCATGCAGCTGGAGAGTATAAAAGGGAGAGGTTCTGTAAAGCAAGCAAGCAAGCTAGCTCGCTCGCTCAAACATGAGAAGAAAAGTGCCTCCCGTCTCTCTGTCCTCATCCTTTCAGGTTTAGGACCTGCTGGCAGGATCCTGACGTCGTGGCTCGCGACAAGTGGCACCCGAAAAGGGACCTGAAAGCAGATGAGGATGTGTAATCCCGGACCCAGGTCGAAGGCAGCGACGGTGCTCCGGAGGACTGACCGCTGCGCCTGATCCTCGCAGTAAATCTACCGTTCACTTCATGAACCCCGGACCCAGGTCGAAGGTAGCGACGGTGCTCCGGAGGAGAACCCCAGGCCCAGGTCGAAGGTAGCGACGGTGCTCCGGAGGAATCCAGAGGAAGGTAAAAAGAAAAAGTGAAAGAAGGTAAAAAGAAAAAAGTGATAGAAGAGAGTGTCAAGTCCATTAGGGAAGAAAAAAAAAAGAAAAAAAAGAAAGAAAAAAAAATGGGACAATCAGAATCCAAAAGTTATCTAGCAAATTCAATTCAGAGCCTACTGAAGGCACAAGGAGTAACAGTTGAGAGGGCAAGATTAGAGGCCTTTGTTAAGATTCTAGACACAGTTTGTCCATGGCTATGTGATAAGGCAGAAATAAATACTGAAGTATGGAAGACAGTCGGAAACCAGTTGAATGAAGCCCTTCTGGCCGAGCCTAATCGTTTTCCAGAAGGTGCTCCTTTTTATTGGGCTTTGTTAAATGCAGCTCTCAGGACCCCAACCAAAAAGGAAATCTTGGAAGCCTTAGATGAGGTGCATGAAGGGTTAGAACAAACACTTGAGAGTCCGCCGCCTTCTGCTCCCCCACACTCAGAAGAATGTCCCCTTTCACTTGAGCCCCCTGAGCCTCCGGATTCCGGAGGACCTCCTGTAGCACTATATCCCAGTTTTGAGGCTTTTCAACAAAAACTTGAGCATCCGCCGCCTTCTGCGCCCCCCCCCAGAGGGAGGCAAACCTGGCTCAGCTGCGTACTATTAATCAGGAGCTCAGTGAGGAACTTCAGCTGAGGCAGCAGATTTCATGCCTCTCGAGCAGACTTGCGTCTCTTCATACCTCGGAGGCCAGGCCTACCAATGAGCCGAATGGTAAAGACCCCATAACATCTGAAGGGTCTCAAGGCATAGCATCTCCTTTACAAGAGGCTCTTAAACACGCCGCAGCACAACGGGAGGAAATCTTTAGACTGTTCCCCGTCATTCAGGTAGAGGGACCCCAAGGGCCGGTTAGAGAACATCGCCCTCTTGAATTTAAGTTGGTAAAAGAATTAAAAACTGCTGTAAATCAGTATGGCACTGCAGCTCCCTTCACTTGTGCTATCCTGGACTCCATTACTGGATCCTGGCGAAACACCAAGTGATTGGACTGCGGTCTGCCGCGCAGTTCTTTGGGGAAGGGGTTTTTTGCTTGTGTTTTTCCACAGAATGCTGATCAACCGCGGTGGATCCCGGAGCGTTTTATTAAACAGATTAACAAAAGCCGTGAAAAGGACCAAAGACAATTTTCCGGTGTTACTTCGTGGGACGTCATTACAGACTGTTAATCCCATAAAGATAAAGATTGTGAAGACTCCTCCTAAGAGCTAATTCTTCCTGCTTTTCCATCTTATGTGCTTACATCCACAAATAGAAGGTTAATAGTAAATGAGACAGAAAAATATTAGGAAAGCTATGAGTAAG